AGAACCTGGGAAGAAATCAATGGTTCCAGCACCCCAGGGCCCACCTAGTGTCACCTTTCACTCACTACTCGCCCACTCCCCAATGTCAGTAGATTTTTCTGCATGGCCTTATAAACATGAGCAAGTTTCCTTTGACTCCTACTTTGCTAAAAGTTCTTGTCAAAGTTTTATGCTAACATATAATATGTATTTTTGTGGCATCATCTGAGATAGTAGAATTTTTTAACTCTATATTTTATTAGGCTAGAAAAATACATTAATGCATTTTCAAATTTAAACTAAACTGGCATTTCAGGAATAAACCTGATTTCACTGTTACACATTTTTTATTTCATATATTATTTAAAATAATGCTTTAGTGTTTTTTTATTTCTCTCCTCGATAGTTGTGTTAGATTACAATTGTATTTATTTAATATTTTGCTTGATTTTAATATCCAGTTTATGTTAATCTCATAATATAATAAAGTGGCATTATTTCTACTTGGAATATTTGAGAGAAATAGCCAAGGAAGCCATATAGATCTGACATTTTCTTTTAGAAAAAAAATTTAGGTTTGGATTGCATTTACTTAATAGATATAGTACTTTTACTTTTCAGATGCATTTCTTCTTATTTTCTTTTTGTAAAATGGATATTTCCAAAAATGTGTTTATTTATATTAGGTTTTTTTTAACATATTTTTTTCTAATATGTTTTTCTCTACTTCTTTTAAAGATGGTTTTACTTCATATTCATCTATTTTAATAGTTACTTTTTAATAGTCAATTTTAACTTTATTCAGGTGCATACACACATATACACCATCAGTATACAGTTATATCAATCTGTCATCTATAATATATTTATAGGTATAGCTGTTTTGTTGTGCTCTCCCGTTCCCATCTTTCTACTTTCTTTAGATTTAATTTGCTGTTCTTTTGTAGCGTCATGAAATGGATACTTATAGTTCTTTCTGACTTCATCTTTGAGGCAATATATTTTTCCTCAAAATGGAATTAGCTTGTAATTCCTTTTTTTGACCCATGGGTTTTAGAAGTATTTGTACAAATTGTCAATTTTGTGTGATATTCTGTTTAACTGTTTGTCTTAAATATCTAACTACATAAATTTCTCTGTGTTCTAAGAACAGACAGTATAACATCGGTACACTGAAAGTCACTGAGTTGTGCTTAAAATTCAGACAATTTTTCCATGGCTGATTGTCATGGACCTTAAATGAAGGATAGTGATGGATGTTGGGCTCTATCCATTTTTCTTGTTCTATCAATTACTGAGATTATTATTTTCTACTCTGATTATTTGTGTTTTTAGTTCTTCCCACTATTCTTTATACGTTTAGAGTCTATGCTATTACAAATTCATGAGTTAAACCTTTTTTTTTTTTTTTGGAGATAGCATCTTGCTCTGCCACCTAGGTTGGAATGCAGTGGCACAGTCCCAGCTCACTGCAGCCTTAACCTCCCAGGCTCAATCAACCCTCCCACCTCAGCACCCACTGGTAGCTAAAATTACAACTGCATAATTTCAGCCACTATGCCCAGTTAATTTTTGTGTTTTGATAGACTGGGGTTTTGCCATGTTCTAGAGTTCTAGAGTTCATGTTCTATAGTTCCTGGACTCAAGTCCATGTTCTAGAGTTCTAGAGTTCCTGGATTCAAGTGATTTTCTCGCTTCAACCCCTCAAAGTTCTGGGATTATAGACATGAGTCACTAAGCCTGGCCCCCTAAACCTTTTATAAATATGAAATGCTCTTTTCTTTCATAGCACTATTTTCCCTTAAAGCTCTAATTTATCTGATACTATTATAGCTACTCTAGCTTTTCTTGTTAGCAATGAAAATGTTGCAAACTGATGATACACTAGCAACATTTTTAAAGTTTTCCAAAAGTTGTAATAAATGAAAGAAGACTAAATGAAAGAATGTAGGCTGTGTAAGTTCATTTAGAAACATAGAATTTTTGAATAGACAAACCTTAGTGATAGAAAATAGACCAGAAGTTTCAAGGAGTTTAAGTTGGGATACAGAATATATTGTAAAAAGGCAAAAGTAAAATTATGAGGGTTGGTAGAAATATTCTTTATCATAATTGTTGCAGTGTTTGCATATTGTATAAAATTCCCCAAATTCATTAAATTATAAATTGATTAATTTTAGTGTCTGTAAATTGTACCACAATAAAGCAGATTAAAAGGTTCTTGCAATAAACAAATTAGATAACTCATATGAATTTTATATATCATCATTTTATGGAACTACTTTTCCACATAAGTGAATAGCCTTTATATATTTTTTGTTAAATAAATAAATCAGTATATCAACTAATAACTAAAACTTGGACTAGGTCCCATGACTATCATGTCAACTAAGTATCATATTTAAGAATTATTTTACTTCATTTATTTTGTTTGATGAAATTGGAGTTAATTATGTTTTCAAAATGTGCCATATAGTTTTCTATCTCTGTATATGCTTAAATAATTTCTTTCTGATGGAATTACTTAATTTTCTCTCACACTGATGAAACCACCAAACATTTTTTTTGAATAGTCAATCACCTCAGTTTCATGTCTATCAAGTGCAACCAACTCTATAAGGCTATGCAAAAGTCCTCACTTTTAGAAATGATAACTCCAAATTCTAAACAGAATGTGTTATAACTTATTTTTTTTAATATCACATAAACTCTTGAAGTCAGGATGGCATTTCTTATAAAGACCAGTATAATGTCTTATAAATATGGATTTGTTCAATATTTTTCATATATGTTTATGTAGTCTATTTTCATGTTGATTTTTTGTTTTCTCAGTAATATGGCATTGAAAGGAATTACTCCAACACATTGATCTTATAGAAAACATTCAGTAATTCAAAGGAAGAAACCAGAAATGTTGGTTCATTTAAATTAAGACTCATTTTATCATCTGGACACCTCAAAACTGAGATTGCTTGATTTATATGCACATGCTTAAAGATATCATCAAAATAAAATGTTGTCATTAAGAAGGTTAAATGTACAACCTGAGGAAATTTCACAGAAATTGCCATTCTTGAGATGATTTTTATATGATATTTATTCTGTGTGATAACAAAACTGTCAAAAGAAGCCAGTTTTGATTAAAGTGAACAACACAAAATGCAGAAAGAATTGAGCTTATTCTATTCCCTGCCGATATTATGGTGATACCTGCATCTGAAAAGGAAATATATTTTAATGTAATAGAATATGCCTTGAAAAGGATAAAAATTATGCATTAGACTCTGACATAGGGAAAAATAAACTAGCTGGAGCCATGTGAAAGTAACTAGCCATGGAAGAAGAAGAGTTTGTAAAACAATGCCAGCACTCATCAATTCCTCAAAATAAATCCCATTCTTCATTTTAACAGACACTTATTATGGCATTTGTAAAACTAGGATGGCACAGCATTTGGTGTCATTGACTATCATAATTTTTTAACACGTTTTGAGAAATAGAAATATTAAATTCAGAAAAAGTGATTTTTCCGGGTGTCAGTAAAGTGGTCACACTGAGAAACTTTCTGTTACATATTTCGATAACTGAAATTTGGGGATAGTAACATACCAAATGGAAAATTGGAAGAGTATGCAAGGAATAATGTAGAGTCAGGATGAAACATTTGTGTCATGCAGCATATGTGTATCAAAAAATAATGTTCAGAAGGCAATTGCAATTGCTGTATCAATGACATTCTCCAGTAAGCAAAAATATTTATGATAGTAAAATTACCTAAAGTTTTCCCAACAATGAAATGTTAAATATAATGCTCACCACTTATACAATAAACCATTATGCAATAATTAAATAATGCTTGTATATCTCCAGTCTCATCATTCAAATATAGTTCAGAGATTTGGAAAATAATAACAAAAATGTAGGATACATTTTTATGCTTATGTATATTTATGACTAGCAAAATATAACCCAGAATTTTAACACAGTTTTTATATGGGTAGTAGTTTTTATTGTGAATAATATTTTTGTTTCTTATAATTGTTTCTATTATCCAAGCCTTTGATAAAACATATGGATCACTTTAAAATTACTATATCTTACTTTTCAAAGCTTTGTTTCAAACGGACTAAGTTTTATGAAATATCTAAAAAGGCTGGGGCAGTGCCTGTAATTCCAGCACTTTGGGAGGCTGAGGTGAATGAACAGCTTGAGCCCAGGAATTTGAGAGCATCCTGGACAAAAATTTTTATATTTTTCTCTATAAGAAAAACAGAAGAATCTGTTTGGTGTGGTGGTGCATGCCTGTAGTCCTAGGTACTTGGTGGGACTAAGACAAGAGGATCACTTGAGTCTGGGAAACAAAGCTTGCAGTGGACTGTGATTGCACCACTGCACTCCAGCCTGGGTGACAGAACAAGACTACATCTCAAAA